CAAGTGCATCGCTACTAGTAACAAGTGCCTTACTAGTAGTAACAATGTTTGCTATTAGAAACAAGTACGTGTTTATCATGTTTTGGCCTAAGGTACAACCTCCAATATGTTCGAACGTTGGGGTTCGAACCTCAACCGGGCGCAGCGTCCGTCTCGAAGGGCGTTCCACCCCTAAGCATTCCACACCACCCAATGCACCCAATGCACCCAATGCACCTGGACTTTATAGATGATCTAGGTGTTGGTTTTATTGCATGCACACGCTACTAGGGGCTCCTGGCCTTGCTACTAGGAACAAGAAGCTTATTCTCAATTTAAAACTGGATGTCGGTTCGGCGTCAGGTTCCGGACGACGACTAGGATTTTGACATGGACTTAGATATAGCAGGACTACTTATTGAAGATCTTTTCGGCACCATTCATGATTCAAGCAGAGATGGCCACCATGGCAAAAGATTAACCAAAACATGCCAAGCAAAAAACACATTTACAAATGAAATGGCGTGATGTTCCAAGCTGCATCTATATGTGAAAACTGCAGTCTCCCGATGCCTGGGAAGACTCTGATGAAAAGGAACATCCCAAACAAAACAATGTGTTGTTGGATGTGATAGGTGGATCAAAACAGGAAAAAAATATATATAATCGGACATATGTAAGCCTTCAGCTCGCTTTGCTTATATTCGCAAGTTGTTGGTAATGTTTGTTTATGTTGAGGTTTTGATCCTCAACATGTCTCGAGTCGCCTCTATTTAATTTATGTATCGATGTGTCTTTCTGTTTTTTCTCTATTGTGTTGTTGCTTGCTCTAGTTTTTCACTTTGCTGTATTTTTAATTCTATGTCAAAAGGCCTCTATCAGTGCCTCTATCCTGTCCAACTCACTGCTATACAAAAACAGGCTTTGGGGTACTAGATTTTGTTCCTTGACGTTATGACCTATGCCTATGCCTATCCCTTTCTACTGCACGTTTCTCTAATTTTCTGCACCTGTCGGCAAGTTGGAAGTCTCCCGACGAAGAACAGTTTTGTTCCCAGCGAATTACATAGCGATGGCCTCCAACCCAATAGCGCGTGTTCTTCTCGTTGACTTTTCGTTGTTGCTCTCTACTGTCCTATTCTTTCTTATTTTCTGTTGGTTGCCATCTCAGACAACTCAGAGACGCCCCTGCGCCCCTGCCACCTTGACAATGTCGCACGGCGCGCAACCATCAGTGGAAGTTGAGGCATCTCCACAATGTTAACCTAGCACAAACTTTTCCTCCATGCGATGCGATTTTGTCGAAAAAATATCGTTTGCGCCCAAGGCAAGTCGCCTATAGACCTGGTGCTGAGTCTATAGGATTTCTGACAGAGACCTGCCGATGTGCACTACTCGTAACGAACAAAGCAGTAACGCTTCTCTTCACATGCGACCTATGAAATAACGCGATGTTTCTTCACGCGACCCCATGCTATCAGGATCGTGGATAGACTTGACTATCCCATTCCAAAAAATGTTTTGGAAACACGTGTTGCAGACTATTACACTGTGTTCCACAAACTGGTAGTAATTACTGCGTATATGTAGGAAGTACTTGTACTGCCTTTCGAGCTTTTGTTGGCCTTGTGCACAGGGTGCCGCACACCATCAGGGCGTATGGCCATTTGGCGCCAGTACGCCCGGGTATCGCCGGGCATCAGCCTTTTCGCGGCATACGCTCACCTGCTGTCACTTTAGCCGCGACCTTGCTTCGTTCGTAGCGATGCCCTTTGCTCCTAGTAGCTTCCTTGTTACTAGTAGTAAGGCCAGGAGCCCCCCAGTAGCGTCCTTGCTCCTAGTATGGCAAATGCCCAAATTTCCTCATTTATGTTGCTTTCTTCACAAACGAGTGTTTTTGTCCAACACTCACTTCGCGCTTCCAACGACAACAATCGAGCCATGGCGCGTTAAGTCAACCGGATAGTGCAATCCTCCACCAATGCATACATAGCAACGTGTGGCATAACTTTAATAAAGTAGTTGTGTGTACATTCTCTTGTACTTATGTGCTGCCACAGTCGGACTCTCTAGATTTTTTTCTCTAGGTCTTCATGAGAAGATTTGCTGTATCCACCGTTTCTCTTCAAGGTGTAAGGTGGTGACTTGTTTTTTGTGTTCAGTGGTCAGTCAGTTTTGGTGCCTTAGATGTCCGCTCTTGCACGCAACAGCAAAACCATGCAAAACCAGCAAACGTCCAAACAAGATAGACTAGACATGACTAGACTAGTCAGGCATCAAGAGAATAGACATGAAAAGGGTCCATTCTCACCCTTCAGCACAGTGCTGAAGCACAATAAAGCTTGCCGAATGCATTCTCAAATTCAGGTTGAGAGTTCGATCTGATGGTAAAGTACGCCTTGCCGCAGCCCAAGGATTCCTTTTCAAGCTGTGATTTCTGTGACTCTTGTCGGGAGAGTTTGTCACGATGGGGGCAATGTCGATCGCTGTCGTGTCCAAATCTGAAATTTGCGGAACAAGTGCATCGCTACTAGGAACAAGTGCCTTACTAGTAGTAACAATGTTTGCTAGAAACAAGATGTTCTACAAGAATCAGTTCTACAAAAGGGAGTTGGAAAAGGAGAGAAAGGATCTAGGATACTCCAAACTGAAGCCAAACCGCACCCGGCCGCCTTTGGCCAATCTAGCCATATCTTGCCTGCCTTTAATTCCGTGGTCATTCCTTTATTGTCTTTTCTTAACGGAGCTCTTTGTTCTTTTCCATTTTCAGTTCTTTCCCCCGACGTTCAGACGAATTTGCACAACTGAATCGCTCTAGGTGCAGGCCTTCAAGGCAGTGATGCGGTGTTTGCCTCAGAAATAGTAACAAGTGCCACGCTAGTAGTAACAGGTGCCTTACTAGTAGTAACAAGTGCATCGCTACTAGTAACAAGTGCCTTACTAGTAGTAACAATGTTCGCTATTAGTAACAATGTGCCTTACAGTTCTCAACTTGTAGAACCGCTAGGCGCCTGGTGATCAGCGGTGGTCCATACAGTGCTCCAACGAAAGGAACGATGTGACAACAAGTAAAGATTGTGTTCCTCCTTTTGTCCTTCCTTTCTTCATTTGGTTTCCTTCCTTCTTCCGATTTTGTTTTTCACTTGTTTGTTTCCTTTCTTTTTTCTTGAACCAGTTTTTTGTCGTTCTTTTTCTTTCGTTCTTGTTTTGATTCGCTTTTGCGTTCTTATGCCGAAAGTCCAGGTATCTACTTGCCACAGCATGAGAGACGCCAGAGGGTGCACTAGACTTGATTTTCTTCGAGACCAAGCAATGCAAATTGCACTTTTCATTGTTTGTAGAAACAACACTTGCTCGTTTCATCAAACACTTGCCTATAGACTTTCAAGACTCTATTTGAAGATCGTTTCTATACTTGTTTCACTTGTGCTTCTTTGAAGCTCCTTTTTCATTCTTTGCTCATTTTGAAGGTGAGAGAGATAGAGATTCTCGAAGACATGATGCTCAGTGCTACAGAAGAAATTGAGCCGGTGGGGAGCGTGCTGAGTCTGAGTGTTTCAACTGTTTCGCTCGGTGTTCGAACAAATATGCAACCTCCAACCTAATGGCAAAAGGAACCTAATAGCGATGGCCTCCAACCTGCTAGCGATGGCCTCCAACCTAGCGATCGCCTCCAACCTACTAGCCAAGGCCTACCTCATAGCGTTGGCCTCCACCCTACTAGCGATGGCCTCCAGCCTACTAGCGATGGCCTCCAACCCAATTAATTGGAATGTTCTTTTTTCCGCTCATTTGTTGCGCTGCTTTATGCTATGCTTGTGGAGGATATGACAGAGATTTCCGCTTTAGAAGCTCGCCAAGAGAAGCACATCCAACAGGCGCTTGTGTCAGGAGCTACCTCGCACTGGTTCACACGAGGAGCTTGTTTTGTTGCCCAACAAGAAGACCGTTGGATCCTGTGGGGTTGGTCTTCAGTCGGATCTTGCATCGAATTGTCTTAGAGACTAGTAGCGATGCCCTTGTTGCTAGTAGCGATGCACTTGTTTC